TTTAAATTAGTAAAATATATGCTGAGATAAATGCACAGATAATTAATCACACAGTACAAAAGTATATAATACATGTTTTAAAGTTTAAAAGGTTGTTTGTTTTGAGTATAATTGTTGTTTTGATAACTTCTTTAGTTTCTGGTCTTCAAATGTCATCATTAGTAAGATAATAAGTAATCTTTATTTACATAGCGCTTGGGAAAGCCAAGAGCGCTTCAAAATTGTTTAGACTTCAGAGAGAAAAACAATCTCATTCACAATCTCTGTTGTTTTTAATTTGACTATAAGGTTGTTTTCCAGAACCAAGAGCACACACTGTACAGGGTCACTGGACTGCTGGACACTGGACAGCGCAACGCCCACCCAGCCACAGGTCACAGATCAAAGAGCAAAGGAAAATGCCACCTCCTTGCCCCTCCCCACGCCACTGCAGAACTGAGTGGGTGTGAGTGAGACCGGGGCCATGAAAGAGAGGTATCTGGAGACGTGATGGGTGGAGCGTCAGGTAGAGACCTAGAGGGAGTTGAAAGTGTGTCTACGTGGTTTACATCACCACAGTGTGACCTTTGAGACCTACAAGTGGTTCGAGGAGTCTTGAGAAACAACCCCAAAATTCACACACATACACACATACACACACATACACTCACACATTCACATTTACATATAGATACATGAAAAAGCAGAACATGAAAAAAGCATTTTAAAAGTTTACTCCAATGTAAACACATATTTTTAATTGTCTATCACTTGAATCTTTAGTTGAATCAGTATTTTTTGAGACCAGAAATGTTAATTTGAATTCTATATTGTCATGGACTAATTGACCTCTGTCCTGACACTTTTGATTTGTTGATTTTGTACTGTGTGAAGTAATTACATTGATTAGAATTAGATCTGATAAAAATACAAATTAGAGAAGTAAACTGCGCTTGCTTTTGTCTGAGAGACATTAGCAACAGCATGAATAGAAATTGTGTTAAAGTAGAATCAAAGTGACTTAACCATAGAGAGTAACTATTGCATAACAAGCTGTGTACAGGAACTGAGACACTGCACCATTGACCAGAAGTGCATCGCAAATGACCTGATGTGCTTCAAGTGAAAAGACTGTATCTGGAGATCTGATGTCCAACTGGAGAGACCAAAACCATGGCTTGGACCCTACTGATGTCCAAGATGACATCTCTCGAAATATGACCTGACCTGATGACGACTGAGACTCAATCTGAGGATCTGAGGACCTGAGGACCCTGAGGATCTGAGGATCTGAGGACCTGAGAGAGAAAAACTGGGGAGTGATGTTTATATTTTTGAAATCATACATTGATGAGTGCTAAATGAGACAGATACTCATGATTCTTTCTTTTGTTTTTGTTTGTCCCTAGCTTCTGGACATCTGATGATCTATTGGACACAGCGATTTGCAGAACAAGAACCAGCCAATGAAAACGTCTATTGCCGATGCTATTGCTACAACCAGAACCTGTGACCAAATGCAATATAAATGTTAAGTATTCAGACATCTGACAGACAAAAACTTTGAAAATGATAAAGTATAAGTATTGTAGCGTTTTAGTAGATGTTAAATAGTAGTAAAAGAGTAGAATTTGACTTCCTTTGTTGTTCATAAACATATTTCCACGTAAGAGTTAAAATAGTACCCTACAATGTTATCCTTTTGATAGATCAGCTAAAATATTAGAATCAGAATAATGTTACAGCCATTAAAAGTGACAGAAGTCACAAATTAGAAATATGCCTTTGCTCAAACTGCAGCCAAACTTTGGAGTCACAATAGTGTAAAAATAGGAGTAGATAAATGCATCAACCATAGATTCTTTCAAAAATAGAGATTATTTGTAGCCAGTGCTAATATCAAATGGTAAAGGGACCATTTCACAAGCATTTACTTCAAAAGTAGATAAAGTTAATTACAGTTTTATGTACAGTTTTATTAGATACTGCCAAATTCACTTGTGTTCACACATGAGTGAATGTTGACAATGCAAAAGTCCATATGAGTGTAGTCTAGATTAATGCCTAGATCAATGAGATAGATTACAACCAACAGAGATTCAAAAGCATTTAAAAGCATTTTGATGTATTTGGGTGTAGCCCAAAAACACAATAGTAGATATTTAGATATTGAGAAGTTTCCAGCACAAACACCATTGTAGAATAACTGACCCCAACCCCAAACCTGCTCAAATAGATTAGCTCTTGTAAGGATAATACTAATTTGATTAATGATGTACATTCATCCCAAACTGCCTGACAATAATATCTTTAGATCAGCCATTCCCAAACTCAGTAACACCGAGGCCCCCTTAAAAATCTGACGGGTCTGCGTGGCCCCCCAAAATAATAACCAAGAAGACAACATTAAGAATAGGCTCTTCTGGTTATTTTATTTTGGGGAAATAGCCTCTGCTACAAACATTGTAATACAAAAATGATTACAGTTGATTATTCAAGTCAAATAATGAACACAAATATTTTGATATTACAAACAAAACATTATAAATTTAACATTAAATAATTATATTATTTTTTTATTTTTTTTATGACCTCCCGCGGCCCCCCTGCAGTACCCTCGCGGCCCACCAGGGGGCCGCGGACCCCACTTTGGGAGAAACTGCTTTAGATAATAAAAAGTAATAAATCACTGACCACTATAGAAGTGTAAATGTTGACCATTTGCCTTACTGTGTTCACAGTTTTATTCCTGAGAATGAGAATAGACATGGAGCAAAATCCCACTGATAATAAGCCACTGATAATGAGAGTATAATACCACAGAGAGATTTATTAGATTAAAATGTATGTTTAAGAATATGGCTCAATAGAAGCAAATATGCAAACATATTTGTAAATAGATTAGAATAGTTTTAAACTATAGTGAATAGTGAGAGTAAAGTACACAGTCTAAGGCACGGTGGCTGAGTGGATAGCACTCTCGCCTCTCAGCAAGAAGGTCCTGGGTTCGAATCCCGGTCGGACCAGGGCCTTTCTGAGTGGAGTTTGCATGTTCTCCCCGTGTCTGCGTAGGTTTCCTCCGGGTACTCCGGTTTCCCCTACCACTAAAAATATGTCCAATAGTTCTGGCATGCGCTTCATGTACTGGCGACCCCGCTCCCATCTCTGTGGTGAGTGAGAGACAAATGCCCAAAAATTAACAATTGTAAACCGCTTTGAGACTCAGATCTGCAGTGAAAAGGCGGTATATAAATAAAAACTTACTTACTAAGATTGAAAAGTGAAAATAAGTGAAGTGAAGTGTAAACAATTAGCATTAGAATAAAAGTATAGAGTAATAAAAGTGAAATTAGCTTCAAATTTGAGACTCAGCTCGTTTTTGTCTGTGTTTTGACTGAATCTGCTGAGTTCTACTGTGTCCAATAGTTTTTGTTTGTTTTTATTTTTGTTTGTTTTTATTTTTGATTTGTTTGTTTGTTTTTGTTCGTTTGTTTTTTCCCAGGATAGAGGATAAAATCCACTGATATTGATTTGATGATTATGAGTTTAATGCATACATTTTCTTTGATTTATTGTTTATTATGCTGACTGTGTATGGAGGACCAAAAATGACTAAAGTATAAATAAATAAATGAATAAATGAAGAAATGTAGCGACACAGAAATACATAAATAAATAAATGAAGAAATGTAGAAATACATAAATAAATATATGCAATAAATGGATAAATAAATAAAGGAAAAAATGTAGATTTTGATAAATAACCTAAATAAAAGTATATTTATTTGATTTCATAGTAATATTTAACACATCAATGTAAATATTTAGTTTTTATTGTCCAAAATGAATGTATTTATTAATATATTCCTGTATTTATTTATTTATACTTTAGTCATTTTTGGTCCTCCATAACTGTGCAGCGCTTTGTAAACATTATTTTGAAAAGCGCTATACAAATAAAGATTTATTATTATTATTATTATTATTATCTTTGTAAATCAGCTTTTTCAGACGTAAAAGTATGCAAAAGGCAACATTTCTAATAAGAAGTTTTGGTATGATTTGCACTTTACATCTCCTTCTGTGGGGACTAACGGCATGTATTATTTATTTATAGAGAAAAGTGAGGTACCCAAGCTTTAAGTACAGATGAAACATGTCACCATATCCCTGAGGTTAACACATGAGAACTATGTGTAGGCCACCAAACAACCCGAAAAACCTAATATCCATCAACAATCAAGTTTCAGTTTCAAAATATCATTAACTATTTTCATGAACTGTCACTATGCGACACATCTGGTGGAATCTCCTTTAGGCTCGTCTCCCCCTAAATGTTTTTTTCCACAGTGTGACATTAAACATTTTCATCTAGATTGGAGACAAGCAATTAACTTCACTATAGGCAAAGTTATAAGTTATTTCTGCAAAGAGAATTAAATGAGAAGTCAAGTGTTAGAGTTTTAAAAATAATGACTAAATGATAAGGTACATTTAAAGCAATAACATTTCTATGACAACAAATCTGGCAGATCACATTAGAAAAGTTGCACAGTGCACTTTTAATGATTTCTTTCTCATTACACAAAAGCCATCACTAAGGTGTTTTTTCTGAATTTTTATCCCAAGGAAGTATTTTATAGGACGGAAAAACAAATCCCTTGTTACATTTTGACATGTCTAACAACCGTGTGCTTGTGCATTTGTTTTTCAACATCTCTACGTTGTTATGGATTTCAGTATTAAGCCTTATGCTAATCAAGCATTTTGAGACATCACTGCACATAAGCCTTTTTTCCTCCACAATCTCCATATCCACCAATACAACATTGACATTAGCCTCCTAGGAACTGAAGTCTTTGGGTTTGTGCTTCCATGAGTCAACATGCCACAAGGCTTGTCCAGGTGAGGTGGAGCTGACAGTGTCAACAAAGCAGCATTCTCTGTTCCAGGCGGAGGACGATCTCCACTTCGGCTCAGCGGCCTCCTCCTTCACACTTCCATGTGTCGCTAAACGTCCCTCAGTGCTGCAGGAGGAAATTGGTGGCCATGTTGATATCATTGTTTGAGGCTCTCAGAGCTTCAAGGGCGTCGGTTCTGGAAAAGCCCATTTCCACTAGTCTTTCAACCTGCAACAGAAGAAAGACCATGTAGACCAAACTGGTACATTACCAACCAGTGACCATGCTAAATTCGTTTTGTAAAAAAATGGATGTTTAATCTAATTGTAGAATTATTCAATACTTATACAATTATAAAGCAAAAGAAAATAATGGAAACTATGGAAAGCGCATTTTTTCAAATTAAATGTTACGCTGTGTAGAAGAGGTATTAGATATGCAGTAGATATATTAATTTTAGCACACCCCTATGATATATATTGGAAAAATCCTGTACCACTTTTGAGACCCGACCCACCAGCTGAGAACCACTGATATAAAGCATAATTGATTTTAGCAACATATCATTAAATTAGGGCTGTCGAAATTATCGCGTTAACGCACGTTAATTAATTTGTTTCATTAATCGCGTTTAAAAAATTAAATTAAAAAACGCATTTGACGCATGCGTCCCATGATGACAAGAATTATTCACAAAGCAAGCTACCTACAACACACTCATGAACCTTTTACCCAATCTAAATTACTGAAGTTTCCTGACCTTGTAAAGCTCTACACATCAATTGTGCTATTTAAAGCATTTAACAAATTGTTACCAAGTAACATACAACAATATTTTATTCTTAAAGAAAAAACATAATCTAAGTGGTCTTGGAAACTTCCATCCATCCATCCATCCATCCATCTTCTTCCCCTTAATCCATTTCTGGGTCGGGGGGGTGGCAGTCAGAGCTGCACCCAGTACACAAAGCACCAGCCCCTCACTGATCCTCCTGCAGGTGGTGAGTCCACAGGAGCTGAGATCTTTCAGTCGGAGCTTCAGGCAAAGTGGGGTTAAGTGTCTTGCCCAAGGACACAACGACAGCAGACATCATTGGGAGTCGTGAAGTAGGTCTTATGGTGGGCTTGAACCCACGACCTTCAGGCCCAAAGGCCAATGCTCTACCAACTGAGCCACTGTCGCCCCACTAGCCACTGTCGCCCCACTAGTAGGAAGTTGGAAACTTCCAACTTCCAAAATTCCGATCGACTCGTAAACGTTTCTGTGTGACTGTATGTGGTGTGAAATTGTGGAATGCTCTGGATCTCCAACTAAAACAATGCCAAGACATTCACAGATTTAAGTCACTATATAGAGAGAATATGCCTTGAATATATTTCCATTTTGCCATGTCCTCTTCTTGTATGTTTGTGTGTTTGTAATTACCCCTGTTGTTTCATCACCATTGCTGTATCATGTCCTTACCATTGTTGGCATTTGCTGTCCCAATGTACCATATTGGTATTTACTGTCTTTTACCATTGCTGGTATTTCCCTCATGCAGCTTTTTTGCATCCTTGTAATATGTATCTTGTTTGTATATGTCCTTAAACCCATTAATTGCTACTTTAAAACCTGAACAGTTGATTCAAATTGGTTGGCCCAGAATTTTCTTAAAATGAATGATAAAAAACAGAAGTAATTCTTTTTGGGGCCAATCAGGTGGATGTGGGACCTCTGAGTGAACATGTGCGCCCCACAGTCATTAAAATCTAGTTTTTATCATCTGCGGCTTTTATCCAAGGTTTAACCTTTTTTATCTTTTAACCTTTTTGAACAAGTTATGCACGCTTTTATTTCTTCACGTCTGGACTACTGTAACGCACTCTACTCCGGTATTTCACACAAGGCACTTCACCGGCTAGTTAGTCCAGAACTTTGCGGCACGGATTTTAACAGGAACCAAAAAGCGCGACCACATCACTCCTGTCCTTGCGTCCTTGCACTGGCTTCCTGTTAATTTTAGAATTGATTTTAAGATTTTATTGTTTGTTTTTAAAGCTTTGAATGGACCGGCCCCTCCTTACATCTCGGACCTCATCCAAATTTACCATCCGCCCCGCGCGCTGAGGTCCGAGGGCCAGCTCCAGCTCGTGGTGCCTAAGACGAGACTTAAAACCCGGGAGGACAGGGCCATCTCTGTGGCTGGACCAAAGCTCTGGAACGCTCTGCTCCCCCACGTCAAAACAGCTCCCTCGTTGGAATGTTTTAAGTCTCGTCTTGAGACCCACTTTTATTCTCTGGCTTTTAATAACGCGTGAGTCGTGTGGTCCTCTGTGTTTTTATTTTTATTTTATTTATTTTATTATTATTATTATTTTTATTTTTATTTATTTTTCATATAAATGTGTGTATTTATTTGTTGCCATTTTGCATGTTGTACAGCCCTTTGGAAACTGCGTGTTTATGAAATGTGCTATATAAATAAAGTGGATTGGATTGGATTAAAATTTGCCATTCGCTTTGTTTTTGTACTGGAGCAAATAGGAAGCTCAATGAGTAATGTTTTTTTCTTTAAGGCACCAGGGGTGGGATTAAATAAGTTTTCTTCCCACTCCTTTTCGAGTATCTGCAAGTGTTTCTTTTGTGTATATAATATTTATAATTTTGTGTTATGTAAATGTAGCTCAGGGTTATTTATGCACAATTTTGATATTATACTTTTGTTTCTTGTAACCTTATTTTCTTGAAATAAATAAAACATTGATTGATCATTATCACTATTTGATGGTGATTCACAAAGACTCAATAATGCTCTCATGAGTGAAAGTCCCTTTACAGGCCAAAATATACACATTTACAAAGATAGGGAACTTTGTGACAATTTTGAACGTTGTGAAGGTTGGATGCCAAGAAATACAGAAAAATTAGCTTTAAACTAAGACTAGAAGTCTGACTTTTGACAGCTTCAAGAAAAAATGTTTCAGCTGCCCTCCAGCACAATTTCAAACTATAGAAATTCATGCAACATTGGCCATGGCTTAAACCCCTGAAATGGACTGAGCGTGTGCTGACGTCACCCATAACGCTAGCCCTAATGCGGAAGACAAAAAACCTAGCTGGAGCAAAAAATTTTAAATGGACATTTCTTCCGGTGCGTTAGCTTCGCATAAATCTTTATGTGGCTCATTTGGATTAACAAAAACATAATCAAAGTAGAAAAAACAAGATAATAGAAAGCACTGAGCTGCATGAGTTAATTGTTCAATGTCAAAGGCTATAGGAGCCTAAAGCCTAGTTTATACTCGCGCGGCGCGGAGCTTACGGAGGTGACGTGACGTCACTTGCGCAACGCGTTGGTCACCGCAAGGCCCTTACGTCGCCTGCCGCGCAGCATCGAAATTTTCTAACTACGTAAGGGTCGCCGCAAGGAATCTCCGCTGTGATTGGTCCGTGTGTGTGTATTGGAAGGAAGCATGAAGCGGCTGCAGCAGGGACATGGACGAGGCACTATGGAGCAGAGAGCTTTGTGCTTCGAAGGAAAAGCAGTTTGGGCTCAGAGCCTGATATACAGGAGACTGTGGACTATCTAACATATATATAACTTATATCTAACATATATATAACTTATAAACTGTGCAGTCGTTTGTTTTGCACTGTTCCTGTCTTTGTTTAAATCGTAGCTGCGTTTGTTGCTTTCCTCCTGCACTCGTAAATCGTGCATGTTTGTCCTCAGATATTTACCACTATTATTGTTTTGCTGTTTGTGCTGAAAACTATTTAATAATAACTATGTTTCCAACAAGAACTGTGTCTTTATTCACAGCATCACAGTTGAAATGACTTATAAAATAATGAATCCATAAAACTATCACATAAACCTACAGTAGAAACACGTGTAATGAGCTCAAACAGCTTTGTTTGTTATTGTTGTTCTGAAGAGGACAAAGTAGCAGCGTAAATGGGACCGCTCCTGTGTGATCGCCCTCATGTGGTTTGTTGTGGGATTACAACATTCTCCTCAAAACTCCGTAAGGGGAACGCGCCAGTATAACATCAATTGTGCTTACGTAGGTCCACCGCAACCGCTAACGTAAGCCACGCCGCGCAAGTATACTCTAGGCTTTAGGGCTACTCCCTCCGGCTCCTATAGACTCCTATAGACTATAGCGGAACCTCATCCATGAGCACTTTCCTTTTGGGCTTCATTGAGCCAGCAGGTTTGCGTAGTCAATCCATATACAGTCTGTGCTTAAATCTACATTGCCAGCGCACAACACAAACCCCCACCTGGTCTTCAGCAGCAGGAGTGTTGTCCACAGCAGCCACTGATGTAGAGGAATGAGCCTGACCCTGTGGCTGCGGCTGTGCAGCGGGACGATTCTGACCTCTGTGACGTAATGATGGGAACAACCTCCTCCACTGTAACAGACCCCCCTATAGAGAGGAGACAACTGTGAGACACCATTGATGGATTTAGGAGGGCTGTATTCTAGAGCTGTCAGGCTTTAATGTCAAGATTAATTCAGGCCACCTCTCCATTCATATTCATTCATTCATTCATTTTTAACCCCTAAATCCATTTCTGGGTAGGGGGGAGTGGCAATTAGAGCTGCTACCTAATCCTCATAGCACCAGCCCCTCACTGATCCTCCTGAGTCCACAGGAGAATTCACAGGTTTATTAAAATTTTCTGCGACTGTATTATTGAATGCGTTTTTCTTATGTAAGTTTAGTGAGCACAGTTTTGGTCAAGTATATTTTCATATTTAGATTATTAGGCACCTTCTCTTTTTAGTTGCCTAATCCACCAGGGCGTTTGTTAGTGTATCAAGAATTGAATTAGTCACCTACAGCATGCATGTAGTCTTAGGCCTTATCCAAACAATGGCTCCTGCTCAGTGGCGCATGTGCCACCATGGGGACTGAAAGCTTAGCGGAACTCGCCTATATTTGGGCATCGTCTGGTCCTCCCGGTTCTGCACTGTGGACAAGCTCCCATGATGCGTTGCGCCAAATACACGTGGTAGCTCTCATGCACGTGCACGGAGGGGCTTGGCCGCCCTTTGACCAATCAGAGCTGCTCATAAGAGCGGGAGTTAGAGCAGGAGCCAGACGAGCAGAGTTTGTGGCAGTAAAGTGTGGAATTTAAGAAAACCAAAGGATTTAAGAAGAAAAGAAATCGGGACAACAAGGGACACTAAAATCCCCGCAAAATCTTTGTGAAAGCTGTAGGTTCTCTGTCAGCTGAGGTCGAGCTGTTTTAGTTTACATTCAGTTCTATGAGGAAAATGTCTGGGTAGTTCCCGTGAATTTAGTCTCGTTTAAAGACTAAATGAGACTGCGGTACTGCAGTCTCGTTTAGTCTGCAGTACTGGGTCCTTCAGCTCCAAGCTAGTAATACCCTGACCAGATATTATAGTAGATCGATGGCTGCGTCGTGGTTACTGTCTCTGAGATTCTGAAATGGTTGTGAACACACATGCGTCACACAACACTGGCGGCATAGGGTGTGCCCTGCTGAAGCTCGTGAGGCGACTGACGCCATTACAGCAACATCACTTGAAATCTGTTTATAGATTGAACACTAAATCCCTTCAGGAAGTCTGGCCTTGATTCCTGTGCGTCACGGCGCCATCATAGTGCTGGCATAGTGTCACAGTGTTTTAAGGCATATTGACTTCATGAATAAGACACAAAAGCCCTGTCCCAATTCTCACCCTACCCCTTAAAATGTACCCTTGCCCTAGATTTTGTGCGTGCTTGCTGGGGTTGTAGGGTGTCCCAAATCTTAGGGAGCAGAGGCGAGGGCACTCTTCTGTTGTGGGCCCTCACAACTCGAGTGCCCTCAGAATTGGGACCTAACATTAACTGTTTACCTAAAACATTTCTGAAACTACACTCGTTTTGACTTGGTTTGTCTAAATATAGTTTAAGTTACCTGAGGCTGAACTCTTGTATTTCTCCGGGCGTCATTGTACTGAGCCAACAGCAACTGTTGGTCCAGCATGTCCATCCTCTGCTGCCTCTGGATGTCTAGTGTAGCACCCATTCCTAGAGGTGTTTCGTTGGCAGGCTGCGTACCTGGAAAATAACACAAACGGGGGTATTTCAATGTGCCCAGTGAGATATTGGTCTAAATTAAATTGGTATGAAGCTTACTTGAAAAAATTGGCTCCAGGGTGCAGCGTCCCAACCGAGAGATCCATAAAGGCACGAATACAAGCTTTTGCATCTTGAGAAAATTGCAGCGGTACAATGCACCGGATATCTGAAAATATTACATACAGAAATTCCACAATTAGATCATCAATAAAAAGAAACTAACTACCACTTATAATAAAAATATAGTATTAGTCAACAGAAAATCACCCAAAATACCATGATCAAAAGTTAACACAGCTTGATGATTTTTCCGTCACAAAAAGGTTTGAATAGCTGCTAAAGACAGCTCCACTGAAGGTATTGAATAGCTTCACCAAAACACTTCATGACAGAGAATTCTCAATGACATATAAACTGCCAAAATGAATCCGGTTTTGTCTGCTTTTCATGTCAATGTAATGTAATTCAAAAGTCTATTTGTGACAACCAGGCTTAACTATTGCAACTCACTTTATGTTAGTGTCAGCCATAATTCACTTTCCCACCTGCAGCATGTTCAGAACTCGGCAGCTCGACTCCTGACTGGATCTCGGAAAGATGAACCTATCACACCTATTTTAGCTTCACTTCATCAGATCCTGTGCGCTTTAGAGTTGATTTTAAAAATTCAAATGTACTTTTAAATCTTTGAATGGCCTAGAACCTCCAACCTTGCTGACCTTGCTAATCCACCCCATGCCCCCTCTTGCACCCTTAGATTAATAGATCAGCAGCAGCTCGTTGTTCCTCAAAGCAGAGTCCTCCAATTACTTCCAAAAACATATCTATTTTCTCTTTTGACACTGACTGAGATATGTTGGTTCTATGGCATCTTTGAGCATAAAGTAACTTTTAATATTATGTTAATACTTGTATATAGTTACAGGTTTTTTTGTATTATTATTATTATTATTATTATCATTATTATCAATTTAATATATATTCTTATTATTTTATTTTATTGCATTTCTGTTTGTGTACAGCACTTTGGTTGGTTGTTAAGTTTTTATAAATGCTCTACAAATGGTAAATGTTTTTATAATCTTTCAAAAATGGCTAAGAAACTATTGATTCAGCCATGTAAAGTATACATAGAGTTATTACTTACCAGACCACTGAGAGCAAGAAGCCACATGAAAGGACTGGATGTCAGCAGCTGGACAGTAGAACACACAATACCACATAAATAATAACTAATAACATCTAGAGTATGAGAAGATTTTTAAACCAAAACGCCACAACTGTACAGACCTGCAAGCCAACGATGTAAACCAGAGACTTATTAGTTATATAGATTTGACCCAAGATCTGTGTCACTGGCATCCTGGGGATTGAAGTATAAAAAGGCACAAAAAGAGAGAAGACTGGTGCAAGCCTGAAATGAGAACAATATGCATTCAAACGGGATCAATACAAATATTAATCTTTTTTGTTTCATTATCAAAGATTAAGATAAATCTTCAGGTGACTGTTCGGTTCTGCTTACATTCCAGCAGGAAGTTCCTCAACCTCAGAGTCAAAGAGAAGCTGAAAGCCCTGGACCAATAGGAAGTCCATCAGCGCGGACAGAAACCAGGTGCCCAGTAGGAACGACTGTAAAATGTTAAGAATTAGACGCTTCAGGTTTTTGAACATAAAAGAACGTTTTACTTACAGCCAGCCTGCGAGTGCCTAATCTCCTCTCAAAGATGCGGAAGTTGTAGATGAGTAGACTACTGCAAAATGAGTCTTTGATGTCGAGGCACACTATTCTTCCACATAGAAATCTCCACAACTATGAAAGATTTTTGGAAATAAATTCACTATACAAATGAAGTTGGTCATCTAAGTCAATCAAACTCCTGTAATAAATCATTTCATAAATAAGCTTTTATAATAATGTGATTTAAAGCGGCTAACAGTAAATTCAAAACAATCCCAATGTCCACCGGCTCGAAACCAACAGACAACAGTCTCAGTTGTACACAGACAGACAGACAGACACACAAACAGATGTGGTGGAGTTTTGATTCGATACCCAATTATGCCATACTTGCATTTACTTTGTGACAGTAGTACATCACATTACAGCATGGAGTTAATGTGACAAACCTGGTTCTGTTGAGTAATCGCCAGCAGATTGTACTCAAACATGTGTTGGTATTGAGGCAGGAGGGTGAGCATCACAGTCAGTCCATTCAGCACCAGCAGCAGGCCTTTACACAGAGGAGCTTTGTCTAGAGTACATAGGAAACAACAAAGATCAGACAAATTACCCTTTGAGCCTATCCTTCCTTTAAAAAGGTACTTGCCACATGTCTGTCAAACTGGCAGTGAAAATATGTTCTTAATATATACTACACAGGCAGAGCCCAAGTGTAACCAGCTAATGTATCTATTATCACATGAAACAACAACAGTTTATTTATTGCGTGATAAGAAACCATTTCCCTATTCTAGATTAGATGTGGCCTTAGTCATAAATGAATGACAGGGTAATGCTAACAGCTGGCTGCTTCCTCCAATTTTTTTATAACAGCTAGATAGATTGTGTTGCTGTAGACATTGCAGCTGCCATATTGGATATGTAAGAATAAAAAAAAAAAAAAACAGAGTCAGGCATTGATTCAAGTTGGTTTATCAATCAGGAGATTTATTTAGTAATAATTTTAAAAAACCATTTAAAAATACACAAAAAGTGCCAGACAGAACCTTGCTAATACATCTTGGCTAATAATAAAATATCCCCAAAATAATAATAAATATATATTGTTTACTAAAGAGTTTTATATTCTATATCTAGACGATAGTTGAGGCCAGAAGGGGATGTCGGTTACCATAGCGATCATGTCTCTAGTGCTCATGGGAGAAGAACCGCATCACTTAATATGACAACATTATATCATCAATTAAGTGTTCTTTATGGTTTGTTTCATGTACTTACAGAGGCCCCGGGAGCCCGTAGAGGTAAACATGGCGAGGAGAACTACACCAGGTCTAATGCCATACAAAACATATGGTCTACCATTGATAACAATAGACTAACATACTAAACCACCGAGCTAACATGGAGCTCCATGCTGCTAACAGGAAACGACCAGGCGGATCTGCTACGGAAGCCCGTGAAGACCAAAAGGAAATACATAGTCGATTGCAACTCAGCTACATTTGAACACAGGAGGGCGCTGTTACGCTACCTTTACCAAGCAAAGAGCAGCGCTGGCCGTGTGCGCCTAGATCCCAGAAGGAAGGGATAGATAATATGGCCAATAGATAATATGGCCGGGGAGAGTTTGTGATGAACAGATTTATTATATTTTGCATACTCTGTGTATGCAAGCCCTGTGTGTCTCTATTTTTCCCTCTCTTCTTATTTTTTACAAATGACATGCACGCGCAGAACATAGTTCAGTTGTTGTGGTTTCAAGTTAGGTGCCTCAGCTTGTGATAGATCCATGGGTGTAGCGAACATATTAAATTAAATTTTAATATGTATACATTTTCATAGTTGTGTTTACAACACAATGCATATAACAGTGTTACTTGACATATATATATATATATATTTATAAAAAATATATATACCAGAAAGCAAAAGGTTCCAAAGTATAGTATTAAAAGTCAGACTGGAGAAAGGCAGATGTTTGAGGATATTTCATATTGACAGTTAAATGCTGAATTATGGAGAAAAACATAATCTAACCTCAACTACTCAAGTTTACCTTGATCATTTGAAGTACAAATTACAGATTGAAATTATCTTGAAGATATAGGTTAGAAGTGCATGTAATTTTGAGTGGAAGGGCATACATTATTCTATTGTGCATGGATATGTTGTTGTTTTTGCTGGTAAAAGCATATTTTCTGGCAATAAAAACTGAATAAAATATTTTATGATACGGTGATACAATTTACAAGCAGGTGATGGACCTTTCACCAGAAGACATACACAGGGCACCTGTAAAGATGCACTACAGATACGACCTTGGGCGGAATGTGACTGCATACAGTCCAGGTGAATGAGTTTCCATCATGGGTCTTTGATGTTATGCACGCTGCGTCATATCTTGTCAATGTCCAGACTTTCCCTTTCAGAGGCCTTGCTTTGTCCTACACTACAAGCTGCCAGCTTTAGTCACGTCAAACCATGTTTATACCTTCCTCTCAGTATGGTATACTCTAAAGGCAATTGATCTAATGCCTATGTTACGACCAAGTACATTTGAATAGATATGGTGAACAGCTGCCTAATAGTGTTGCTTTTTCTCATCATGTAAAGATGCAGTGTGTGTTAGTTCCCATTGGTTAGTTCCCAGCCATTAGGTCTATTTGGCTGCCTGTGGTCAGATGTGACTGCAAAGCAGAACTCAGCAACAGCTTGCTAATTGTGTTTCAGACCTTCTCTGTCACTGATGTAGGAGTAAGGTCTAAAAAGGTTGCTTTGCCCCTGTTCTCAATCAAAGATAATCAGATTAAACAGCACAAAGATGTGTGTGTGGGTGCGTGTGTGTGTGTGCTTACCAATAAAGAGACTCCAGATTTGGAGACAGCCTTCAGCCTTGACTCCTGCTGTTTGCTTTGTTCATTAAGAGGAGATGAGCAGATGGTTTGCTGGTCTGTTGTGCAGTGCACACATACGGCTTCACACTAATGCACATACACACATGCATGCTCTGTCCTGTCACCTTAGCTTTATCCTCCATTTATCTTTTCCATTACACATCGCTCGGCAGGACAATGCAACTCTGAGCTGTGAGGCCAATGTGTGTGCGCGTGTGACAAGAAAAAGAAAGATCGTAACAAGCCTGAAAGAGTAGCACCAGTGTGCTGAATAAATTCTTAAACTCTTTTAGTCAGGACACTTCCGAGGTGGTCATCTGAAAGCTGAGGTCTCAATCCCACTATATTTATGTGATTGGGATCTATCAGGTGCCAGTCACCTTCACTTTCAAAAAGAATTACATGCATCAATGGTACTAGGGCTGAAACAACTAATCGATTAATCGACGACTAATCGATTATTGAAATAGTCGACAACTATTTTAGTAATCGATTAATCGCTTTCTGGTTCACACGGACTCAAACAGAGCAAAAATGACATGAAAATGTAGTATTTTTGATTAAAACCGACTTTGTTTTTATAATTTCATGAATATCTGTCTGTCTCATCCAATCAGAGCAGAATTAGCACAAACATTTACTTTAAGTTTACGCCATCAATACGTCCTCGAGTGTTGCCACTTTAGCTTTTTGTGATGAAAAAATAAATGTTTTCTACATTTACAGAATGTAAACACACCGGTCAGTTAAGCATCAAGCCAAGCGATTACTCGATTAATCGTAAAAATAATCGATAGATTAATCGATTACAAAATAATCGTTAGTTGCAGCTCTAAATGGTACTGTTTTTCACACATTATATCTTTTCAGACAGAAAATAAAATGTTAGATAAATATTTACCCAAATAAATAAATAACTTTTGAATTTGTTTTTCATTTACAGAAAATCTTCTTTGTAGAGATAACAACCCAAATGTTGTACAGCATTTGTCTTTAAACTGATGGTTTGCAGAGCTGCTTGTGATTTTGTCCTGAGGAGGCAGAAGAAGCCCATCACACAGAGAGATAGTGCATTGTCAACATGTTTCACTAAAGGACATCTTGCATGTGACCCTTCTGGCCTCCTCCTGTCCGTGTGTCAATACTTAGGTGTATGCTTTGGAGGTGCAGCTAGAATCAATGACACATCTCCTGCTACTCAGAGTAGCCAGCTGATGCATCTCTCCATCTCCTAAGATGTGCATTTGAACATTTAATTATTCACTACATAATCTTTTGTTATTGTTTAAAGGGAAAAAGGGAGATAAGAAAATCACAGACACAAATTAATAAAAAGCATTTGTATTTCTGTATTGTCAAACTGCACTACTGCATAACATTCACAATACAAGTCATGTACTGACAACATGCCGTTATATTCATGAAAAGAACAAAAATGGATGACTTTATATGTACACGATTCTTGTTACAAGTTATATTCATCGACTGTGTCCAGTTAAACAGCACTGACAGAAAACAACTATGTTCATCTACTGCAGGATCTGAAAACTTGATTTCAAAGAAACACATAGAAACACATCAGAGTACTGTTTTACTACAGCAGTGATCCAGTGATTAATGATATAAATTAAATAAAAGTCAGAATGTCCCCCTTGAAATGTAAAGGATGGATGTGAGCTTTCCTTAGTAAAAGAGTCTTCTGTGCTGCGGTCCTCGTTTATCCTCAAAGCGATCAGTACATCCCGGCCGTCTGGAGGAAAACTCTTCCCTCTGAAACACACACAAACATTTACATTAAAATGTGCGTTTGAGTGTGAAGAGTTCAGTCTAAGTGGTCAGACCACAGGTCAGCGAGAGGACTGGGAATGGTGCTTTGGGCTCAGATCCATGTTTTTCGATAAAACTTCCTGACACAAAGGAATTGCTTCCTGCCCTGCTGTCTGACAGACAATCCCCCTTTAAATGATTTATTACTGGGTGTTAATTATGCAAATGATGTCCAAACAAACTCGTCATGAGGACAATTAAGACAGCCGTTAATTAGTGGCCAGTTCTTTTCTTGCTTCACTGACATTCAATTAAAAATTGCCTTTGAACAAGCAAGCTCTGTGGTAAGGTGGTCCTGGAGCCGCATGGAGCAGAAGAGGGGGTAGGACCATGCACTCATTTAATGGAAGTGGGCGAGAGATCATGTGAATTTCTATTTTTGTCTATTAAAACATGCTACTTTGGGGATTTTCTCATTAATCTGTGATGACAACAACACTGGCGGAAATAAATATATTAAATGCCTATCTCCATTAAAGCAGCAGCCTCAGTGAACTGCATCATGCTTCATTTAATTTTGTTCAATTTCTGAGGCGCGGCCTCCCTGAGAAATCTTTGAAAACCCTTCCAGTACACCGGTCAGTTAAGCATCAAATGCAAAGAGCAGGTGAAATAATGAAATATGTCGTTAGAACCCAGTTGATTAGAGCCAAATAAAGGGCCATGGAAAAATCAAATCAAACAGTTTTCTAAATTTATGGAAAACCTCAGCTTGTCCTGTATTCACAAACGCATGCTTAATAAGTTAATAATTCCCACAAGTTTAGTGGGAGGAAAAGCGGAAAATGCAGTTGCTTTGAGAATTCTGCCAGAAGTACAATTTCAGCAAATGCTTAATCTTTTAAATCCAGTTTACAACATTCAAGGGCACATAAAAATTTAAAATTGTCTCTATATCTTGGCTTTGTCTTTTATTTAGCTCTAAACCAAATGAAATCTTTTGCAGCAACAGTGATTTGAGAAAAGAAATAAGACAGGAGGTGTAAACAGTGCTTTCTGCTGTATGTGTGCAGGTCAGACAGCTGTACCTTGTGCCTTAGTGTCCAGTCTGCTGTCATCATGCTTGCTCCCTTCCACGTCCTGGGTCACAGACTCTGAGTGGGGAGGGGCCGCTGATGATTGATGGCCTGTAGTTTGGTCATTAATTCATAAAGACACTTAATTAGAGGCTAATGGACAGTCGAGCCTGTGTTGTACTCAAGGCATGGTGACATTTAATATGAAAATGAGAACAGCGCTAGTGCTTGGTGAGTTACGGCTGAAACAAACAAGTGCTGAAGTGTTTACAGAGAAGGAGGCGTGTACCTGAGAGTGAGGGGGCGCTGTGGAGCAGGCCGTGCTCTGCCTGGTCCCGCAGTTTCACCTCCTCCTCCAGAGCCTCCTGCAGCCGCCTCTTACTCCTCTTCTCCTTCTTTAGACGCTTCTGAATCAACACTGGAGAGAGAAACACATTATATTTATATATCATATTTATAAACAGAACCCATAGCATTGAAATGGGATTGCTCTCAACTCAGAGAACTTTCACAATCCTCATAAAGTTAGTATTAATTATTTTGCTTTAATAGTGAACTTGGACTGCAATTATACACAATCAAGTAGTAATTATTAATAAAAAATAGTAATAATTGGTATTTGTTATTTCCTGTTTTTGTCATTTAAAAAGTTTTGACATAAAAAAATAAAATAAAACAACTTTTTATTGTTGGGAAATTCTATTGTAATGAAAAAATAAGTCAGATAATTCAGCTTTAATAAAAAATATACATATTTGGATTTACCCATTTAATGTGAATACAGAGCTGTATAATATTATTACACTGTGATACAAGTCAGTGTCAAGTTGGAATATTAGAATAGAAAAAAACAATAAAAATGGTTATATTAGGTCAGAGTGGGTCAAATTCAAGCATTTTTAAAGACTTTTAAAAAACAATTTGAAAAATGAATTATTTACAACCACGCTCTATTTTACAGAGTTACCAGCCACTCTTTATGTATCTACTGTAAGTTGTAAGTTATTTGAATAATAGTTTAATGGATGATAATAATAATCATCATAATAGATAGATAATAGAGGATAGTATGTGGTGACAAACCGCTCAAATAAAGAACTAAATATCAAAATTCAAGACTGTTCAGGGTATTTTCCCAACTTCATAAACTCAAAGCTTTTAGTGCTGATTAGGACTTGGTAGGAACCCTGTAATAGTTGTAGTAGATATTCTGTTTTACGTAATTATCCAAATTGCAAAACAAATAATACATATTCTAGACTCTTTCTCATTAAAAACACATTGTTTCTCAGAATAAGTCATTGCAGATGTGAGGCATAAAGTTGAGCGCTGTGTCGCCTCTGTCTAATGCAGAATGCCCTTCACCGAGACCTTGGACACTTTCCAATTATTGACGCCGCCAACAGTGTGTAAAATCAGCATATTTCTTGAAAAGTAAGACTTGCCACATGCATAGATAATATTTGCATTTTAAATGAAGGGACACATTTCTGTTTAGAATTTACTCTAAATTATTATGGTGTGAAAAAAATGCGATGCTTATTTCACACAACGCATGACACAAACTTGATTTACTTGAGAGTACACAGCCAACTTCGGTCTAATTCTTGTCTGCTAAGCCTTTCAGGGGTAATATACAGTCGTTGTCTCCACTTCCTTATCTGATTTCCTTGCTTTTAGAAGTCCTTGCAGCTTGGTGGAGGATTAGGTGAAGCTGTCCAGCAAAAGTGTCAAGACTTTTTTATGTGAAAATCAATACAATGTCAGCGTGTATAGGAGTCCACACCCATGAAGAGAAATTTAATGCCGTGGGTATACTTGATTTTGAGCAAAAGGGAAAAGAAAGAAAGAGGCAACAAAGCCGTCAGAAGGTAAAACGAGTTGCGGTGTTGTGTTTGGTACCTCTGTTCTTTTGCTCCACGCTCAGCTGCCTCTCCAGCGTCTCTCTCAGCTCTCGCTCTCGGACCAGCTCCATCTTCAGCTCTGTCCGCTCCAGCTGGTCCTGCTTCTCCTGCGCCCGGGCGTTCTCTATGGCAACCCTCAACAGACCCTGCTTGGAGACACAGAGGCGGGCTCATGTCAACGGGTCAGACTCCACACTGGGGGATTTGCAGGATTACAGGGGTGGTCATGGATACCAGTACACATGTGTAGACATAGATTCCAAAATTATGTCAGGGAAAAAAATACACCCGTTTTGTTTTCAAATGGCGTCCTGTGGGTTTTCTATATCTTGGAAAACCATTTTTTGGCACAATCAGTGTTAAACTTCAGCCTAAATGAGGGAAAGGCCATCTCTAAAGTGTTAATGTTAATGTGAAAAATGTTCTCTCTCTTTGGCAGAGAAAGGAGCAGAGAACTAAACTCAAATTCTGAATATGATGCCAACTGTTGCCATACATTTGGACCAAAATAAGTCTTCAAAAAATAGGGTAAAATGTTTAACCCAAACTAAAATCCTGACAATGAGACAAACAAACCAACCAAATTTTACAAGAGATAAGCAAATTATCAGTAGGAATGAGTTTTTAGCTGGTTTTACTATATCTTAATTAAAAGTACAGCTCATTGACAAACCTGTTTTTAAAGCTGCGGTACTTTTTTATGCCAACAGAAAGAGTCTTGTATAATGCTATGAACAAATCAGACCACATTATCTCATCTTCATTAATATAGCATGTGTGCATTGTAAGAAAGAGCCCTGTGAGCCACTATTTGACTAGCTGAGAGCTGATTGGCTGAGTGAAGGAGGTCCTCTTTTTTTCACAGGCTGTAGATTTAATACTGAGGCAAAAAATACACGCATGAGAACCAAACTGTTTCGAGACCGACGAACTAGTTACCTGGATTTTGTGACATTGTTCTTTTTTGTGGTTTGAAAGTTATGTACACCAGCTTTAAAACCCCAAGTACTGAGATAACAAACACTTGATTCAAGTCACCTCAATACTTAATGAGTTATAAAGTTAAAATTGCTTACCTTAAATAATCTGGACTACTTTTTGTAATCTTGACTGTTTTATGACTGCATATGATGAAGTGACCCATAAAACTGGTGTCATTGTATCTCCAAATAAACAAAGACTAGTACAAAATCTGAGAAGCAGGTCAGCGCCCAGCCCAACGCGCAGCCCAATTACTGCTTATTCTAAATCCCTGAATGCTTTAATATTTACCATATTGGAACTCCCACAGGCTGGTTTTTACAGCACATGAAGAGTTAGCACAAAGAACCCTGGCAGAGGCTCACCTGGATGTTAGTGAGCAGGGTCTCTATGGAGGACAGGCCTTCGGGGAAGATGAAGGGAGCGTGGTGGAGTCCTGCAGAGAGCTTCTGTCCCGCAGGGTAAGAGAGGCGCTCACAGCCCTCCCGGCCCGATGGGGGTTTCTGGTACACTTGTCTGTCACAGGCTTCCCTGGTCGTCTGAGCAGACAAGGAGCTGTTATCTGCAGGGTATAGAAGAAGACACATGGAGTGAAGCCAGTCAATATTCCCAGGGCTAGATCGTTTTTAAAGGTCTACTTCCTCATCTGTCTATTTTAATAAGCAAAAGGATGAGAAAAGACAGGAGGCTGTAACACAGCACACAAGTCACAAATGTAGATGACGAGGACCACACATGGCGACATTTACAATGGTTTAACTGTGGTCTTCTTTTTCAAAATAAGTGAAGTTGGTTTTATACATCTTATTCTATGTTGTTTTCTTTATTGTCTGTCTTGACACAATTGAAGTCGAGAGCTGTTACACAAATTACACAAATATTTTGTGTAGCCATTAATAAATTATTCTGATTCAGAGATTCAAGTATTCAACACAAAATAAGAATATGAAAGACTATTAGACTAATAATGTTCCACTGTATTCAGTATTCAGCAAGTTGAAAATTGTATTCGATATATCAAAATATCTCATAAATCAAGAGAATAAGATCATACATTAAGCGGCAGTGTAAACACAAACCTGTACATGACTGTGGACAATGCTTAATGAAGCAACACCAAAAACTATTTTTATTTTCAATACTGTGCTGAAAAAAATGCGTTGAGGCATTTTTGTCATACACATCATTGGACACAAAACAAATAGATGTTGAGACAGATTGTCCTACATGCCTGCGAGTGCTCAAACAGCAGACTTCTGCTTTGGGCTCTTGTGAATGTGGTTAGCCTTTATTAGATGGCACTTTGCCTATTGATAATGCATCACAGCTTGACATCTCCCATAAAAACAGCTAAGAAGCTGCATTATGGATGACCATCTGTTTGTAAACCTGAGAACTGCGTGCTCCAGCTTTGTGCCGGTGAGGCAGATGAAGATTAGCCGTTTTGAGATTTTTTTTCTTCACCAAGCAGTTGCTCACTTTATACGCTCACTGTCATCCGAGCCACTGAGGACGAAGATGTCCTGGGAGCCCGGCGGTTATTGGAGCAGAGACAAGTGTGAATGTGCGATGTGATATCTGGCACTTTTCTCTGTCTGTGACAAATGACAGTGTTTTCTCCACTTAGCTGACCACAGCATCTTCTGCTCCAAATTCAGCCACCTCCTTTTTTTCTGCCTGGGCCTCATGTCTTGGCAACTGTCACACTCAAGGTGTTTCACAGATGAGAAGCAATGCCCCCCTCTCCTCCACTTTCTCCCTCTTTCTTGCTAAAAGCATTGCTCTGTAGAGAAAGGTAATTAGCAGGTGCTGGCGAACTCAGCGGAGGGCATCCAACTACACTCCTGTGGCTCACATACAGATACACACACATCCACCGCCGCTAAAGTGCGCAGTCAGCAGCGTGGGCTCCCCAGGCTCCTTGGATGTGACTGATCCTTTATTGAGTTACTGTTTTACGCCTACTTTACCCCACATTCACACACACACACACACACACACACACACACACACACATTCGGGGCAGGAGCACACACCCGGTTGCCAGCTTGTTTGATCATTTACCCATCTCCCTAACCAAGGTCACTGTCTGTTTTTCTCTTTTCTCCCAACTTCATCTCTCTTTTCCCTCTACCCCACGTCCCCAGGGCTAATGAACTTCACAATGTGAAGACTGCCAGTCAGCGGAAGAGAGGAAGAGGGAGAGAGAGAAATGGAGGGAGACAGAGAGAGAATAAAATTCTGCTGATGTTTGGTTAATGGGAGTGAGGTGTCAGGGATGGCCTCTGATCTCTGCTGCATGGATACGTTGTTCAAAGACCACTGAAACAGCACACACAGCCAAAAACGGCCTCTCACACACGCACATGCACTTAGAGATTATCATACAACAGATTGACAGAATGACAGCGCTGAGGTGCTCTTTGAAACTCAGGGATGAACCCGAGCGGCCGCGTTCGAGGTCAAACACAAAAGCAAGCAATCCAGCAAATGTACATGTATTTCATTTGCATGCAGGGAAATCATTGGAAATCAATTGCATAAATGCAGCGTGTGACGCTTGGCATTCACATGGTTGATGCCATCTCTGCTTTGTCAATATGTTCACAGATACCTGACAGCATCTGAAACTTTACCTGTGCTGCTTTGTGATTTTAGATTGGATTACTGAATAATGCCATTCAGTAGAAGAATACATTTACACACACGCGTGTATATACATACAAACTCTCTCTTACTCGCTGCTGTAGATTTCTGCTGACTGCTTGTCCTTGAGCAGTCCTCATTAAGCTAATGCAAACCTCCCTGACAGAGAGAACCAAACAACTGACGTTGCAGCGCCGTGGCAACGCGGGCCCTAACGACAGGGAGGTGGTCGTTATGCAGATGAGGTCCAGCTGAGAGGCCGCCCGGCTCGTTAGGCCGCGGCCCGGCAAATGGCTCACTAATGTAACTCTGCTTCCTGCTCTAATGGAGCCCTGTTTTCAGAATTATTTGTTTTTGCTCACAGCGGGACACCGGGGGGAACACCTACAGCGAACAGGAGTGAAAGAGCAGAGCAGCCTGAGAAGTCGAATCCTTATCGACTTGTTACTGAATTATTTCTCTCTTGTCAACCTATTAGGAGGCCTTTCTCAAATACTACAGCATTAAGTGAGACCGGGGCAAACTGAGACCTGAGGACAGCACTTCTCTGCTTGTCTGTTAGAGGGTCCCTTTTGGGCTGTAAATATATTGAACATGGGATCATAAACTGGATATGTTGTGTCCATTTCACTGAAAATTGTTTATATACTAGGTGGGTGAAAAAGGACCCCTGGTTTTGAGGGAAAAAACAGACGTACTGCACAGTAGCATGGATATTTATTATTATGACAAAACCAAGACTTTGGTATAAATATATATGTTTGTTAATTCATGTATTATCTGCAGTTGTGCGTGATGCTATAAAATGAATATTTTATAGAAACCCAAAGCCAAGTTTTGAGACCTCACCTCTGTCAGTGTGGCCCCTCTTCCCCTCTTTGCTGTAATCCAGCGAAGAGTCTGTGTCTCTGGTGCCTTGAACCAAATTGGGAGAGTGCACTCCATGACCTGAGAAACTATCATGAAGTGAGTCTATGAATGGAAGAAGAAAAAGACACTTTGTAAAAAGTCATGATTCATTTAGGAAAAAGAACTCTTTAATATGGGCACATACGTGAGATTTCTAGGTTGCGTTCTGTGTGACATGGTGAACTGGACACACTGCTGCTGTGATTGGATGACATCTGACCTTCCTCCAATGAGGGCGAGGGAGAGGGGCTGTCACGCATTCGCTCCTGCGAACCACAAACAAATAAGTACAATAGGAAAACCCTGCATTATGATGTGTGTTCTAGGGAAATAAAGTGTGTACTGCTGTTAAGATCTTAGCCCCATATCTGAAAAAACAATGGCCTACATACTTATTATTACAATGTCTTTACCAGCAATATCCGGAGAGTACTTCCTTCTTTTGGTGATACATCCCAGTGGAAGATTAAACTTTATTTAAACAAATAAAGTCATGCAGTCTGGAAGGGACTCAATGTCGCACACTCACCCAAATGTAGGATCCTCAATGAAACATTTAAAGATTTTAAGGCCTTCATTTGGCCCCCATAAAATACTTTTGATGAATGAAGAACAAGGGGATTCTTGTCTGTTTCATTTTTCTATTTTTATTTTGTTCAGTCTTCTAAGGATAAAATCAAAAGTACATTTTTGATTCCCAAAAAGATATACATATTTATTAATCAGATGAATTAGATTTCCCTCCAATTTTGAGGAAAACACAAATTAACAATCATATATCTGTATAACAGTTGGCACATTTTGGCCAATTAAAAATGCCAGACTTCCAGCCAAAAAAGGTGGCCAGTGGTCAACTCCCGTGGGCTGCTGGGAGTCGGAGTTCACCTTAATGACGGAGGTGGGCGCTCTGGTGGAGGCCTTGGCGTGGAGCTGTGCCACGTTGGCGATGCTGGCCAGAGTGCTCAGTCGGTTCATCTGGCCCATTGCCATGGAAACGGAGGCCGGCGCCAGGCTGGCAGGGATCAGAGGATGTGACATCATCATGAAGGGTAGCTGGTCAAGAACTAGAACGAAACAGCATAAAAGTAGAGACTTCGGTCAATAACCAGACAGCAAAGATCACAGCACGAGACAAAACAGTCATATTCAGCTCACATTATCACTGCGGCTGTCTGCAGCTGAAATGAAAGAAGGATTCTCTCTCGACTAAACTGAGGCTGTGTCATAAGCACACATAGGAAAAAGCACAAATAATATGTATGTGTGTGTGTGTATGTTTGTGTGCATATGTGTGTGTGTGTGTGTGTATGTGTGTGTGTGTACGTGTGTGTGTGTATGTGTGTGTGTGTATATATGTTTATGTATGTGTGTATGTGCATATGTGTTTATGTATGTGTGTGTGTGTGTGTGTGTGTGTTTATGTGTGTATGTGCATATATGTTTATATATGTGTGTATGTGCATATGTATGTGTGTATGTGTGTGTGTTTGTGGATAGAGTTTCTCAAATCTGGTGGGAATAAAAACTCTTTTTAAAGTTACATCATTGAAGTGTCACTTTTAAATGCAGATTCTTTCTACCTGGTTCCCAAACCTGAGTAACTTTTCAGTGCCCTGGAGTTCTTGACAATAATCCAACATATTTTCAGTCAAGCCAAACTCTTATTATCTTGGACAATCTGTTGTTCTCACTCCGATCTTTAAGACGTGCAACTACTATCTTTAAAGAAAATCCTTCCGCTCAACAGCACCCCAGTGGGTTGTTTCGGTCCCTCTATTCATGAAACAAACAATCCTGTTGAGGGGGGGAGAAAATGACATAAATATTTATCATTTAATAAAAGGAAAAACAAAAACAAAAGAAACACAGGGAGGAAGTGGAACAAAAGAAGCTGATGGCAGACCTGGTGCTGGGCCAGCAATGCACGCCGGGTAATTATAAACACAAAGGCAAAAATCTTGGACTCTATTCCGCACAATTGTCACAAATAATAGCACGAGTGGATGGAAACAAAAAAGGCTATCCAACGAAGGGAGATTACGAAATAAAACAAATAAAGGAGGAAAGAAAAGAAAGAGACATTAAAAAGGGAGAAAAGTGTGAAATAAAGGCAGAGGCGTTGACTTTATGAGTTGGGTTCGCTGGACATATGTGCAGTGCTTTGTGCATTTGGCAGATTAGTACCTCACTTGCCCAGAGCAGAAACCAATCCAAACAAAAGATCTGTGTGAATAGAGCTAAATAACCAGATGCTCCAACAATCAACTTGGAGCCAACTCCAAATATTAAGCCTTGGTCTGGACCCAGCGCTCCATTTGTCACCGCCCCCACCTACCTCGTCCATAATTTCATTTTGTTGCTGATGTTCCTTAACCCCCCTCACCCTACTTCTCACTTTCTCTGCCCTCCCATCACTCTCTCTTATGTTTCATTAAAAACATCAAAAGTCAAAGTGCCTCTCTTATGTTTATCCAAACAAACCATTACTGTAAACAAACAGTTACTGTAAATTTCCCAGAAGATCTTGTTAAACGCAGAAATGGCTGCTGCCCGCTCTTCCCCGGCCCATAAGGTGTCACACTCAGCATTTGCGAGTGTGTGCGTGTGTGTAATCTGAGATTGTCTTTGTAGTGGTTAAAGCACTGCTAGGCCCTATCCTTCCCATAAGGCTGTGGGTGGCGTATGGAAAAAAAAAAAAAAAACCACATTGTGCTTGTCTGTGTATGGAGCTGGTGCATTTGCAGTGTATCTGTATGTTTCCACTTGACTCTATCATTAACAGTGATTAAGCTTTACAGGTTTGTAATCGCTGTGGTAACCATGCCACCTAACTACACACACATGCAGACAGTTGGGACGGGGCACACAGGATTGGAAACAATGCTTAAAGCCATACTTTGGATGTTTTGAAGTGGGATTGTAGATGAATTAAGCAAAAGTCTGTGCAGAGAGAATTTCTGTACATCAAAACAAATTAAAGCCTAACTTTGAAACCACAACAAATTAACTGTGTCATAAAATCCATGTGAGTCAAAACTGTTTGGTTCTATCACTAGTTTTCACATGCTTGTATTTTTGGCCTTAGAAAAGATTAAAAAAATACAGGGAAGGTTTTCTAACAAGACAAAGACGGGGTGTTATGGTCCGATTTGTTCACAAAATAAAAATTCAATTCATGTCCTTTATTTTTGTATAGCCCTAATTCACAACAGTAGTCGTCACTTACACATTGGTAAGTGTGGATTCGCCAACAACAGATTAGAGAATGACCAGACTCTTTCTGTTGGGACAAACAAAATGCATTTATGAAAAAAGGTTAAGTACTCCAGCTTTAATGCACTATAAATAACATACGTGTATTTGTACAACATAAACCTTCTCATTTTGGGCTAAAGTCGTACTTACAAACAGTGTCAGGTTCTTATGATCTAAAAACACACAATCTATGTTCCCAAGTAATTTATCAAAGACCTTTCCAAATGCACAGGAGCATATAATTCCTGACCACTTTAAAGAAGAAGCAAAGCAGAGGCAGCGAAGGCCAGCACTAAGGACAGCTTCTTCACTTTCAACCTTGCGATACATAAAATGAGTGTGTCCCAGGTTGATAGCGTATTCTGCCCAGACCTCCATAAGCCTTGTCATCTGTCTAAACACACTGATGTCGTTTTAACCTGTCGATAACAGTGGGGGTGGCGGACACGTTTGTTTGTGCCTATGTCCGTGTGTGTGTGTGCGTCTGTGTGTGTGTCCGTTCTGCCATCGATTGTCCAGCGTTTGTCGTTTGCATTCAGGATAGTGAATTAGAGAGAAGACTATTGATTTGGCTTCAGCCTCTCATCTTATTCATCTCTCTATCATCCCTGTACCCTTGCCTTTTTGCAGACCGACGCTCCACTTTTGCTGGCCCCGGATCGTTGCCGTGAAGAGGAACCGTTTTTCGTTCCATATGACTACAAAACATTTTAACCAAAGCCAAAGAGGGTTCGGTTTCCAAATTAGGCGATTCTTTGCTTTCCAGGGACAACTTTTGGAAAAGTGATAATTGAAAGTTTGACAGCAAGGCATCTTCTCACTCCGCTGCCCATTAGTGGCTTTTTACTGACACTGAGAGCACATTAAACTCTACGAATCCGAGGCTCTCTTCCTGTAAAATCGGATCTCAAGTTACGCAGTATTACGACTTTATGATTTGTTGAACATGAGAAACAGGCGAGGGGGGGGGGCATATATGGGCTACAGTGCAGCGATGTTAAAACACCGACACAGCCATGAAACCCTAACCCAAAAATGAAAGTAACATGAAATTTGGCATTGTGTTTTTCAACAGCTTTCATGCAAAAATCAACTCAAAACAGTTCAAAACAGACAACTAGAAAAAAACGGCAAAGAAAATCTGGCATAAATAATAAATTAGCCTAGCAATATACAAACTAGAAAAACCAAAACTAGACATAACATATTTTAAATAAAACTGCATATAATAAAATATAAAAATATAAATATTTAAATAATAATTAATTATATCTGATAGGATGGGTGCACTACTGGAATATACGAGAGCGCTTATGGGTTAGTAATGTGTTTATATGAGTTTTTCTGTTTCTAAATGTAGTTGAAATAATTTTGATCCTAGACTGGTTCAGGGCATTCTCAGCTCGGAGCCAACTAGTAACCATAGTAACATACTGTTTACTTGCAGCAGTTAGTATTCAGTTTTTCTGTATTAATAACTGTATAAATGAGATAATTCTGATATTTTGTCCTAAAGTAGTTTCAGAATTCCGGAAGTCCTAGTGTTAATTCTGATTGGTTGGTTGGGGTCGAGATTCAGCTGTATTTTTTTCCACCATACAAAAACATGCAAAACACTGTAATAGAAAAAGCGCTTATACTTGCAATGTTCCTGTCTGTTATTATTATAATATCGCAATTTACGACCAAAACAACCACGGTTCAGTTGTCTTTGGCTGTTAAAGATTGACATGTCCGAGGCTAGTATTTCTACGAATTTTTATGTATTATTAATCCTTTAGATGGGCAGGACGGTTAAAGCACAATGCGACGCCAGTGTCTTGAAATAAAAAATACACCAAATGTGTTAAAATGCACATTGTGTTTTCAACCAGACCAGAAGAATGAAACAGAAGTGAGTCACATCCTGGAGTAAATCGCTGTAGTTCAACCAGGTGCAGACGACATTGCATAAGCCCAGTTGTTCCCACCCTTTTTTGTCATTAATACTCCTAAACTTTGTCTAGTCCCCCCCTCCTCAGTCCTCATGAGGCAAATAAATAGTTTACTAATTAAGTCAGATGTCAACCCTCAAATGATCCAAAGGCTTTTTGATGTACATTTTTGTGTCATAAAAACATACTTGTAAGAAAGAGCCCCATAAGTCACTATTTGACACTTTTGGCAGAAAGCTGATTGGCTGAGTGAGAGCTGTCTTTTTCACTTTTCTGTCTGAAAAAGTTGTTCTAAAGATGTGACAAAAGCCCTACATCATGTGAAAACTAGAGATAGATTAAAACTGTTTTAAAGCCAGGAACTCGTTACATTATGTATTTAATTACATAATTTTTGTGTGTTTTAAAAGTTAGATACCCCAGCTTTAAATAAGGAAATCAAAAAGGTTTACATAATTAGTCAGTTATGGACATACTGTAATTGTACTTTTGTCTCTTTTGTACCCTTATTATATGTTTTTTATTATTATTTTTTTGCTGTTTTTTGCATTGTAGAAATGACATTGCAAATAGTATTAAAAAAAGAGAGAAAACTAGTCAGTTATCATTTTACTTTATGACTTGTAACAATTAAATTTAAGCCCAAAATGTACAGATGTAATATGTTTTGCTTCTTACTCAAACACTATTTCACAACATTAAAAGTACCTCCTGCTCGAAGCTCGCGTACCCCTGTTTGGGAATCCCTGTATTACATTTGTGAGATGTAATAAAACATCAAAAATACATTGACACACTTTCTTTGGACGCGCACTGGGCTGAGACTCACCCAGTCCGGTGTTGTGATCACCGTTCTCCCCGTTTGGCCCGCCGTGCTGGTGGTTACTGTGGAAACTGGCCATGGCTTCCAGCTTGATCTTTTTGGCCAGGGCAGACAGATCTGAGAAGGACAGACACAAGAGTAAGACAGACATAAAAAGAAAAGAGAAATGAGAGGAAAGAGAGAGAAAAGGAGGGATCAATAAGATGCAGATCAATGGCCCCGGTGGAGGATTAGAGCAGTGGGTAGGCAGGAGGTTGTCATGGGAAGACAGAGGCCGGCCATTCATTCTGACTGCACCGCTGCACTGGCCATTTAGTCTGCCAGCGAATCAGCAGTGATAGAAACAAGCCAAGACATTCATCTCTCCCACACAGGGACATCGGAGCCCACAGCTCAGCATGGCACAGGCAGACTCCACCACTCCTGCATCCCTCTATTTTACAATTAAACGAAAGTGAATGAAATGTGGCGTTGGGCTGATTTTCAGAGAGTAGACTTCAGAGAGTAATTTGACCCTCGGAGCAACCCTTAGAGCTAAAGCTGTAGCGATAATTGCTATATATCAACATATAGTTCAGCTGATGGGTACAACAATGTATTTTGGGCCACAACAATTAGCGTTTGTGCATTTTCTTTGCAAAGGTTTTTGAAATTTTAGATATAGCAGGTTCAATATGGCTAAAGAATAAATGCATGATGGATACATGGACTAATTGCTTTACTGGCATCATCGTGCTGTATTGTTGTGTCAGTGATTTAAAGTAGTTGTAAAATTATCACAATCATTTTCATAGGCAATATTTTTATAAGCAGTATTTCACACATTAGTTAGGTCTAATTAAAGCCTCAAAAAATTAAAAAAAATACAAATAAATTGAGAAAATGATGAAAGTCTGACAAACTGAGCTCTTGTGCAAACGCAGCACAGAAACACAAACAAACTCTTAATTTCCTGATGGTGGACGCATCATAAACGTTGTGATTTTTCTGTCATATTTTTTATAACCTGCACTAGAACGAGCAGAGCGGCCCGTCTGTCTGTGCCACGGACAACCACGACAAATTGTTTCTTTTCCGCTCTCATCTTCTCACCTCCTTGCTGCTGCTCTGCGCCCATCCCCTCTCCTTACTTTACCTTTTCAAATGTCAGCATCACAGCAGGACATAAGTCACCACATAGTGTGTGTGTGCGTGAGCTTGTTTGAGTGAAAAAGCGACTAAGGAGGATCACATCAAAGATTTTCGCTGCCTTTTACGCCCAAATGTCCTCCCTCTGCCTGTCTCTTCCTCTCCTCTCATGTGGCCAGTTCTAATCAGTGGCGCTGACATTGCCGCCGTGCCCTCTCCTTTGGTGGAAAAAGACTCTTTTCCCACTGAGAAAGATGCTCTTGAACGCACAACACACACGCATACGCACGCACTCAAGCACCTTTGAACAGTGAGAGGAAGCGGAGGCTAATAGAAAATGGCTTCTTTTGAGGCGGGGAATGAAAAGATCAGGTTGCAGTGAAGAGCACAAAGCCAAGGGCAACTTTGAGAGCAGTAAGGTGCCAACAATTACTTTTCTCCTATTTTTGGGGACACACACACACACACACACACAGCTAAATCTAACACAAACAATACATGACAGGCACTTTGCTTACACCTGCACACACTGCTGTTTGTGACTAGGGAGACTGGCCATGGGGAGCAACTGTTACTACAAAGTCAAAAATGTAAAACTCAAATCACCCAAATAACAGGAAACTTTTCATGCGCTTCATCTTTAGACTTTATACATCACCATTAAGGTTTCAAAGGTCTCTCAAATCTGTTATTGATGCAATAGACCACTTTACAAGAGTTCTTCAAGATAAAACCCCTAAGCTTGCAAGTTATGAGGAGTTTTTGCGTGTGTCAGCACTATGTATGCTAATTTTATTAATCAGCACGCAGGTTACCTCCCAGAACTACGCCTCCCTGTGCCTCCTTGTATCGATGATGAGCAAAGATGCAGTTTCATGGAAATCAGGGGAAAATGCCCAATCAAGTATCTGCTGTATTCAGGACGGGATCTATTATTTCTGACAGAGAATAGCGGGTTTATTCTTAAAGCGCTTAGATAGCAGTAAAGTTTTTAGAAAGTTCTTTTTTGAGGTTTAGATTTGAGATAAATGTAAAAACATACTTTTTTTTTTGCTATTTTGTAAATATTTATTAATTTAACTAAATCCCACCTGGACCAGTGCATATTGGCATAATTGAGTCCATATATGAGTACCATTTCCTCATGACATGTGTCGCTACCATGTGTGTGAATGGGCCAAAAACTAAACCCTAAAGCTAAACCTGACGTAAAGCCATTTTACCACCACGGTTTGGAAGGTATTGGCTAAAAATGTTGAAAGACTATTGGAGCATTGTAACTACAATATTCATATAGTAACGTCACATTCATTATAATTGTGTAAAAACCTTTTCCTACTGTGTTGGTCGAGATTCAATATTAAAAGTACATATTTGTTGAAAAAATATACCTGCTTTAAAATGTTTGTTATATTTCTCATTGAGTGTTTTTCTGTAACTTTTGGTTACGTATGTATATATTGCCCATCTGTGGTGAATGAACAATGCTTTTTTAGTTTTGTCTTTTGTCATATTGAGGTGTGTGAACACTATGTTCCCATTACCGTCCCCATTGGCCTTCCATAAGCTGTGAAACTCTAGGAGAAAAAAGAACAAATCCTGTGCATTTTACAAGCAATAGTTTATCTTTGAAGTGAAGAGGCTTAATTGGCTTTATGCCTTTCTTAGTGTAGTATTGTAGTTGGTGTACAGTTTAGGTGTGGGTGGTCACCTGCAGGAGGCATGATCCCGGCGTGCAACAGCCCACTGTGGGACAGCATGTGGTGGGTCCCGCCCTCTGTCACACTCTGGAGCCTCTTGGGCGGTCGTCCGGGCCTCGAGCTGCAAAAGCAAGCACAAACTCACAGTCATTAGGGGGCTTAATACCTGCGCCTCACGCTGAGACTCAAATCGACGCCTGGTATAGAAGTCGCAGACCCCACTGTCCTTCACTTTGTAAAACCTGTGATCTTGTTCTGGCAAAACAGTGAAACCTGAGCGTCTCCGGGAAGGCTGCTGTAGTGCAAATCTGACCTCCCTGTGGATACGAGCAAGCAAAAAAGGAGTTTCCCTGTGGCATCAATAAAGCACCTCATTACTGTTCAGCTTACTCATTCATTTGTTTGCTTATTAAATGTGTTTGCCTGCCTCCCTCATCGCTCCAACTTCATCTGTTCCTTCAATCCCCTCATTTTGTCACAATTTCCCCCCCTGCATTAAAGCCGGGCGACTAGCAGGCAGGCTCACATGGTTTGATTGAGGCGGGCACGCTCAATCAATCGTGTAGGAAGTATGTGAAAAGCTGTCAGACATCACATGGGCTCTGACTAAACGGTGTGAATGTCCTGACAGGGGGAATGACACGGGCCGCATCAGGCTTAATGACAAGCAGCACCACTCATCGCCGACTCCTACCACTCTGACATGGGCGAAACCAGAGAACACGGCTCTCGAGTGCGCCAGAAACAAGCCAGGGAGCAGAATGGAGAAGTTTAGAGAGGGCTGAAGACACAGGCAAAAAGTGTTCAAAGAAGAGGGGGAGATAGACTAGCAGTAGCAGCTTCCTAGCGTGGGGTGTCTTTGAGCAGATTTTAATTAGAATCTAATCCAGCCGTCATTAAGGCCCCATAAACGAAGCTGTCAGTCAGGAGATTAATGGCGACTCATTTGCATATTGCATATAATTCATCAATTACCCAGCAGAAAGGACCAATCCCCTGTTGACACACCCACCGGCTGAGAGAGGGGGAAGATGAGAGGAGACAAAAAAGTGAGAGAGAGAGAGATTGTGTAGCGACTAACTGCGTGAGAAAAAACAGGTAGCGTCGCGAGTGTGTGTGCGTGTGTGTATGAAGTGTTCAAAGGTTAATTTGATGAGCCGATGAGCTCCACAGTTCCTGCCCTCGGTTTTAATGAGTTGTTATTATTGTCTCTTATTATGGGCCCAGACCGACTGGGATGTGACAGCTGACATCAGATATCACACACACACAGACACGCGCGCAGGTAAGACTCCCTCACCGATAGTGGAGAGTGAGGGAGGGAGCGAGTGAGGGAGGGAGCGAGTGAGGGAGGGAGCGAGTGAGGGAGGGAGCGAGGGAGCGAGTGAGGAGTGAGGAGATGATGCTGTATTATATGTGGACCACTTTGACTGATGGTGGACCTTTCCGGGGCCCACACACTGAGATGACATGTCAGATGGCTGACATGTTTGGGCAGTTCATATTTTAGGAGGAGATAACAGGACTATACTTCATACGGAAATTATCATTTCAATAAACAGTATAGGGTTAAACTTTTACAATTTTAAGTAAGTAATATTTATTCATACAACGCGTTTCACAGACCAGAGTTACAAAGCGCTTTATAATTGTGGTTATGTTGTGGGTGTTTGTCTCCCACTCCACACATACGAGTCAGACTTATTGTATATATTTTTAGTGGTAGGGGAAACCAGAGCACCCAGAGGAAACCGGAGCACCCGGAGAATACCGACAAAGGCAGGGGAGACAATACAAACTCCACACACAGAAAGGTCTGGAGGTGGAATCAAAACCAGGACCTTCTTCCAACCTGCCGCCTAAATACTTTTAAAATACTTTATACTTGACCACACCAGTGAGAACAATTGATTTTTGTTTGGTTTTATGCCTATAGATTAGAGTATATTTCTGCTTCTTTTAAACTCCCCAGGACAACAATCAGGTATAAGGGCGTCTTAAACATACAGGAAACAAAAACATTGGAAGAATTGTCATGGAGGCACTCGTCACGATGTCATAATTACAAACTCGAGTTTGATACTAATAAAAAGAATATGATTTCGTAAGAAGATTTTAAGATATATATTTTTGTCATGATTTTAAACATGAATAATAATACAACATAATGGTGGTTGTTACTGTAAGGAGTTATATGACGTACGCTCAAAGAATCTCACATTTTGTCCTGTTAAGTATGAATATTTCTTTTTGACGATATTTTGACGACCATAGAGCTGGGCAATAGGGCCAAAAGATTAAAATATAATTCGCACTAGGAAAAAAACGTTATTATTGTCCTATTGTTGTCAAACCGTTTGGCTCCATCACTAGTTTTCATACACATGTGTTTTGAGCTCTTCAGACAGAGAAGTGAAGTGGAGAGGACAACCTTCACAAAATTGTTCACAAAATGTTATTTTTTTTAATTCTTTCTGTTGGACAAACAAATGTATTCATACAACAAAAAAAGTTTAATAAATGAATTAATCAGGCCATCATCATGCGGCCGACACCCAGATTGTGTCGACACGGGGCACGATAACCCACGCAACAACACAATCTTTAACCGCCTACACCGGCTGTCACAACCCGAGTGAGAAGTTTTGCACTGGAGAAAGGACTGTTCGGAGGAAAGCATGTTGCGAGTTCCTCTGCCGCAGCTGTGATCACAGCCGCTGTTTCTCCACGTGCTCAGACCAAAGTAAACATCACCAGTTCACATAAATAATATTGCAGTATTTCAGTTTCATACCTCCCCTCACAATTACACTGGTATCAGTATGGCCCAGCCCTTGTAGGCAAATGAGAAAAATATAAGAAGAAAACACAAAGAAATGCATGGCCTATAATAACTATATGGCCTAATAAAACAACAATAGTTTCAATATAAATTCAAATATTGGATAATATGTGGATCTCAGCTTAGAACCTCACTCTCACGTGACCTCCACAACACAGACTGATCCAATCCAGTCTCCCCAACAGCAGAGTCCGGTTCTGTTGCATTTTGTTTTTAATTGTTTCATCCTGTTTTCTTCAGTGTCCTTGGGTGTTTTGAAGTGCGCTTTTAAATTAAATGTATTATCAAAACTATTTCCTTGGAAAAAGAAGCTTGAATTCTGTCAAGTGAACAAAGTTTGGAGAAGCGTGCACAATATATTGCACATATATTTTTTCATGTTTGATTTCCGTGTTTTCGCCCCCACCTCATGTTTAGAGAACATTGCTATTTACTGTCACACACTGCGCCTAACAAAAGCAGGAAACGTATTTTTAGGCCTTGAACTTTGGAGATGAATCCCATGCAACTGATTCTGAAAGACACATTAACACAAATGGAAGAACAAATAGCAGCAAGGGAAATAAAACACACAGAGACCAAAGACTGTGGTCGGATTTTAACTGCAGCCACTTCCCTTTTCCTCACTGCTGTTTATTTGCACACACTAATTAATAGCTTGTGTGTGTGCGCGCGTTTGTGTGTGCGTCCATGTGCGCGCTTGTGTGTTTGTTAAACGATGTGTGCTTTTGTACTCGCTACGTTTTAGGGGGCATTAAGATCTCGAACCTCATTTTGTGTTTAGTCTGCAAGTGCGTTGATACATCAAAGTGACCCATGGAGGGAGGTCCATGTGTGTGTTTGTGCATGCGAGCGCACTTTTGGCTTATGTGTGAGTGTGCGAGGGGTTGGAGAGCACCGGTTCCCTGAGGTAGGATTAATGAAAAAGCCTTTCATGGAAAAGTCATCAAGCTGAGGGGATGGAATGAGGGAAAGGAGGGAGGGGGGGACGAGAAAAAACAGTGCATTGTGTGTCTGTGTGTAAGGTGTGTAGGAGGGGAGGGGGGGTATGTGGCTTATGACCTCTTTGTCTCAAACTTTAATTAAAATCTCACCCAGACGTCCTCCCTCATGCCAACGCTAAGGCCACACAAACACACTCACTCATAGGCAGTTTTTTTTATTTATTTTTTACGTACGTTGCGATTGGCCCCTATAACGCACACTTCTACCACTTACCTGAAACACGAACCGCCAAACATGGCAGCTGGAGCTTAGCACAGGTGGAAGAGAAACAAAACAGAGCAAAGATGACAGATCTCTCTCTTTTAGCCGCCAACACACACACACACACACACACACACAGGGAGGGGGGCAGAAAAGTCATGAAAGAAGAGGAAGTGTTACAGTCAAAACAGTGGAACAGCTACTGGCTTGGAGGGACTGAGGTGCTGATAGGTAGCAGCTGTGTGTTTGTGTGCAAGAGCAGACAAAAATGAGAAGGGGGTTGTTTGGGCGACTAGCTCAAACAAGATTTTGTTTGGAATATATTAGCAGCGGTTTACAGCTCCCTCGCTCCCATCCTTTCAATCTGTGTTTATCAGGCGGGTCTGTATTCGCCGTCACGGTCCGGTTTGATAAATCATATGGCTGTTGCTTTGTTGCAGGGAAGACTTATGCTGCTGGTTACAGAAGTCAGGCAAAGATTGATGTTGTGATCTTTCCTTTAAATTGAGGGATGAAAAAAACCAACAACAACTTTACACCGTTTTGTTGTGATTAGAAAAAGCTTTACGCAATGACGTCCCGGGGTCTAAACGCGCTCTGCTTTTCTACAGTGCACCTTTCAAAGGCGAGACTTTCAGACAGGACGTTTGATCATGGCAAGAATCTGATCTCCTCCACTGATACGGCCGCGCATTCCTCCTGCATTCCAGGGTCAGCGCGGTGTCAAAGAGTGTCTACAAGCATATAGGTGTGTGTGTGTGTGTCTATGTGTGTATGTGTATGTGTATGTATGTGTGTGTGCGTTCCACTAGGGCCTGTCATATAAAGGGGACAGGGAAGCCCGAGCCATCTCATCGTTTCTCTATAAAACATCAAAGAAAGCATAGGTTAAAAGGTTGAGCTAATGACCCCACCCATACCAAGCACCCCCCCCTCTCCTCCTCATCCCTTAATGCTTGACTTTGACAGTGACTTATGGTGTGATTGATGCTGGGACATAGTTTTTATAGGGGGAGTCTACCTTCCCACACAAACAGTCTTCGGGCCCACCGCTGCCAGCTTCCAAAAAACACCACAGAGAAAGACAAAGAGAGCACTATTGTTGCACTCGGTGGGCCATTTGGTGTCATTTATCACTACACAGTTGGAATCAGCAAACTTTGGGTGTTTGTCTTACACCTGCTGAAGCTTTGAAGTCGCAAAGTCACGGATAGCGGTCTTGTGAGGACGCATCTATTCCTCCAAAATGATCATTTATTAAGGGAAGAAACATATATCTGAGCTGGGTCTTTCCATAGATTGGTATTGTATTGACAGATGATTCTTTGTATGTTTATGTGTCAAAAATTCATGTCAAAATGTAAAAAAATTGTCAAAATTATATTGGTATTGCACACCACAACTTATTTTTCGTTAAAACCTACATTATTATTATTAAAACCTACTTAAAACAAACAAGAATGCATTCCACATATTTTAGTGATCCAAAGGAAAAGGAGAAAAGATTGATCTGATGAAGATTATACTGACCAAAAATATAACATTTTCGTGCAAAATGCATTTGATTGAATCTTTTAAACTACTTTTTGTCTAATTCCTGATACATAATTTTCCACATTATTTTAAACAAAACTAATCAGTGAATTTGTGAGTATCTTTTGCTACTTACAACAAGCCAAAAACAAGAAAACCACCAAAAATGAGTTTAAAAAATCCAAACCAGACGATCGCTACTGTAGTTCCCATGCAATTGTTGATGACTGAGAAGAATCCCATCCATCCATTTTCCCCCGCTTTATCCATTGCCGGTTCGCAGAGACACCCAAAACTTCCCTATCCCATAAGAGCAAAATGCTGCTTTCAAAAGTTCATTCAATGTAACAGGGTCATTATTATGAGAAAGTAACATTTCACCCGATATTCCTCCTTTATTTCATGGCAAATGTAAAAACACAATACGCGTTTGTCCATTAAGACAAACGCTGTGCTACTTTTCAGTTTGCGGTCAATGCAAACGCTATTCAACAAACGAAGAAGCGCTTTGTTGTGAGGTAATGAGAGATGGCCGTGCTATGCTACATTACACAGGTTTTGCGTAACACCCGGGTTGGTATTTCTGAACTTGACACAAATAAATAAACGTATCATGGGGATGTATGCGCGTGCACGTACAGCGTTTGACCCAGGGTATATGATGTGTGTAACCAACATAAAATGAAACTGTTCCTTTGTGAGGGAGAGAGAAAAGGACGGCGGATCAGGTTGCCTCCTACACGTCATGTTCTCTTTGTGGAACTAATGTCGTTTTGAAGCGAAGGCAGCAAACACAGAGGCGTGACCAGGCTGAGGTGTGCAGCCCTGTGTACTTCTATCCTAAATGCATGCCAGATATAAGTAGGTTTGGCTGCAGAAGAGGGGGACCTTCTTCATGCTTTGATGAGTCAGTGATCTGTGTGAATTTGAAAGCTAAGACAAAAGAAGAAAACATCTAAAACAAAGGCGGTTTTAACGACAAAAAATGATGTACAAAAGAAAATAATGAGCAACTTGGGAAGTGCCTTGATGGTCGTGTTAAAACAGTTGACAAGGCTGTTATTTCGGCTCTATCCTGTCTGACTGTTGAAATAATAAGTGACGGCTGTCTTAATCAGTAACAAAACCCTGAGTGAGCCTGGGTGTTGTCAAAGAGCTGTGTTCCTCAAACTTATATCGTTTTGGGTTTTTTCAGCCATAGTTTCACGTATAACCGTGTCTTGCTGTCCTGAGTGGTTTCAGCTCGTTTCTCAAACCCCGGTGACTGGAGCTGAAGAGATGAAGAGGAAATGTTCTAACTCAAAGTGAAGCTGAGCCGACCATAACGTGATGTTTTCAGATCTCATTAACTAAAGCTGTTTGAGTGTAGTGTGGTTAATTAGACAGACAGAGGCTGTGTATTTCTGTGGTTGTATTACAGCATTCCCATTAACACCTGATCACAAGAAATCCCCCAAGCTGCCAGAAGATGCATCTGGATTTCCTGGTGGTTAGAGGCTCTGAAGTGCTTGAGTGCAGGTGTTAATCCGTTCAACAACATCATCATCTTGATTCTAACAATTGTGTTTGTGTAAACAGCTTTTAGGTTTCAGAGAATCATACAGCAACTTGCAGACTTCAGAAGACTCAGGAAATGGAGAAAATCGCCTTTAAAAAGTTTAAATTCTTTTTGGTCTGATTACTTTTTTTAAGTAGACATCTTGACACATCCTCTATCTGCGCTAAATGACAGGTGTAAATTGGATTATTCATGCTCAAAGGAGCAGGGATTAACTATCAAACAATATAAATTCCCCAAACTGGTGAGGCTAATCCACACTTGTTGTGTATTAAAAGTCCTGCTGCTCTGAGCATGTGGTCTGCACATCGTTCATCTGAAGCACCAGGAAACCACATCTCCGCCAATTTAGCTCCTTTATCTAAATATTTCTGGCGCACTGGATTGATGACCCGTGTAGTTGGTCACCATCAGAGTTCTGCAAAACAGCTCATTTACATAATCGCATCATAAATAGCGAGAATTCATTTAATCATCTTCTCTGTTCTGATGCTCAGGGCTAAAGAGTGTTGATATGATAAGACAGCGAGTTATTAAGGAAGAGAGAGAGAGGAGAGTACAAGGATCAGTGAGTGAGTGAGTGAGCTTGTCCTGATTTAAGCTGCCGCTTGGGGCCAAATGAAAATTAATTAATTTCTGTGAAGAATCAATTTCTCAGAATGACAGTGTCAGATTCAATGTGTGTACAAGTGTGTGTGTGTGATAGGAAGTGTCTAAGAGAGAGATATTAGAGCCTATGATAACACCACTAACTTTATAAAGAGCGTTTTATTGGGATTACTAAAACCCATTATCATCAACATCATCATAGCCATCCAATAACCACCATCTGATTAAATGGTAATTAGTTTGAGATCATGATCAAAAATGTAGAAAATGCGAAGGCGTCAAATGATTCAAAGGAGCACTTTGAAAAGCCAAAGGTTAGTGAATTCTTAATCTTGTTCAATTTGTAACATACTCTACTTACAGTGAAAACATTATTGGACAATTAGTTTTGGTATTCATATGTTTTGGCTCTAAACAGGAAAAAAATATGAGCAGATCCATCAACAACGATAAAACAGATGAAAAAAGAAAAAGTCTAGAGAAGTGTAGTTTATCCTGATGAAATTAAAGATATACAGATATAGAATTAGATATAATTCCTGAGGTGAATAAATATGATATGATATGAATCAATACTAAAACTATATTGTAACCAGATACTAAATATAGTCTAGATAGCATTTTTATTTTTTAAACGTTGTTACTTGTATAAAAAGTATAAAACCTTGTAGCCTCATAAGAATATCCATATTATGAGTTTTATATGACATAATCGCAGCGGGATCCAAAATGGTATAGAGTATTTTTTTTTTCGTATCGAATCGAGTTTTCACTTTAGTATCATGACGTCCTTTGACAGAAGCAGACTATATACAACTGAAACACTATAAAAATACTAGTCTAGCCACAAAGTTGTTGTTTGTCATTAAGTGAAAGATAGCATAGTCTAAAAAAAATTAACATTAAAGCTGGGGTACCTAACTTTCAGGCTATATAATAAAATCCCTCAAACTAGCTCCTCAAAACAGTTCAATAGTGTACGCATGTATTTATTGGTTTTAGATCAGCTTCTTCAGACAGGTCAGTCAAAAAGAGAGAACCACCTTCACTGACCACCACACTCTCAGCCCAAAGCGTCAAATAGTGACTCGTTCTTACAAATAAGCAAAGGATTTTCTAATAGATGTGTGGTATGATTCGTTCACAACATTTTATTTTCACCAGATCTTTTTATTCATGGATATAAGGTGAGGTACCCCAGCTTTAAAAAAAAGAAAAAGAAAAAAAAAGTTGGAATGTTTGAGTAAAAAGTTGTGTAACTATAGATGAGAGCTACACTTTCTTGCCATGAGGACCACACATCCTGACGAGCCAATTCAGACAGCACTGTAGACTACAAAAAGAGTAAATCAACTTTCCCCTTGCTTCTGCCCTTCGCCTCCTTCACCTCTGCTCACCTTGCGTTCGTGCAGTCGTTGTAGAGCGTCTCGAAGTCTTGTCTGGAGATGAGTTTGCAGCGATTCACCCCGGGCTGGATGGCACCGAGCCCCCGGAGGACGCGCACCTGCTCCACGTTGCACACTACCGGCGTGATGTCCAGCCTTTTCAGCTTGGTGTAGACGGTGTGCAGCCCTCCGACCAGATGCTTGAGAAAGACGTCAAAAGCCTGCGGCAGACAGATGAGCTCCGTGTCTTTCACCGTGAACGACGCGATCTTGACCCCCTTCACCTCCACCAGCTTGCACTCGTTGTTCTGGGGCGTGCTCTCCACCGGGGACGGGGTCGCGTACACTGGCTTCCCTCCGCTGGACATGGTCATCCCGGCGGGCTTCAGGGAGGATCCGTTCGGGAGTAAAAGCTCTGCCCTGAAGGAGTGGAGGAGCGACGGGTGTGGGACGGGAACCACCGGGGACGAGGCGGCGGGCGGTGGCGAGGTGGTGATCGGGGAGAGCGAGCTGGGCACGGGGTGGTGACCGAGAGGCGCAGCCGCGGGAGATGCCATAGTAGTCATGCTGAGGAGTGAGACCAAAAAATAATAATAATAAAAAACACACTAAACTTTCGAATCAACAGTGTAAAGAAAGTTTCTAACAAGTGTCAATGGTGTTTGGCAGGAGCGGAGCGCGCATGGAGGAGAGGGTGGAAGGAGACGCACTAAAGAGAGGAGGTTTGTGCGTGTCTGTGTGTGGAAAACAGATCACATAGTTGAATGTGAATGAGAGAGGCTTGTCTCTGCGCTGGAGGAGATGCTACTGTCACATTATCATAAGAGGAGGAGCCTGCGCCTTATTCTTGGAGAGGGAGAGGAGGGAGAGAGTTAAGATTAGCCTAAATAAAGTTTGTATAAGCCTATTTATGACCGCCTTAAAAATACACAGCCACATATTTATGTTTCCTGAGGTGTTAGTGGAGGTTTCTTCTGATACAAATGTTTTATTAGCATTTTTAAACTTTACAATAGTCTATGTTCATTGTGCCATATTTGAATTGTTTTATTTAACAATAATTAATTAGACTGTTACGCTATAAACATAAGATTTTCCCACATTTGCTTCTTGGCATCAGTGAAAAGTATCACAGCTTGGAAACCTATGATATCATTGAGATGGCACATAATACATCTAGGACTAATCGTTGACCATACTCCTCAACAGGGCTCAAAATGACAACAAAGTCACTGCAATGCCATCCTTCATTCTGGGGCAGGGGCTATTAAAGGCACTGGGGCAATAACCTTGGTTTGACAAATTGACCCCCTTACCTGTTCGCTGTAGCCGTTTTGCGGTCCACACAGACACTCACACTCCACTGTCATTTACATATGGAGCTCGCAGTCCTTTCAAAGTGGCTTTCACGGAACATTGTGCTGATAATGATCTTGGTCGTGAGGGAGAGAGAGACACAGATCTCCAGAGACCATCGCACATAAGACAAGGGAGAAGAGGATAAAACTCAGACTGTACTTCAACTCAAAGGACTTTAACACTCTGTGTCACCCCACCCCCTTCCCCAATAAGCCCTCTTGTGTTTTTTAATTGGCAGAAATTAATCTTTAGGATGTAGATGGTAGATTTACATTCATTAAAAGTCAAGAGAGGAAGCCAGGCTTGATGCTAATCAAATCTGCTTAATTATGCTTAACATGAGTATCTCCAGGGGAAGAGAGAGAGGGGAGAGAGATAGCTAACTCGAACTTTTTACTTTTTGCCTTTGATAACTCCTGCTGAGTATGGCCTTTTCTGTGCCAAAAAGAAATGTCACGACTCTCTTTGTACATCTGTGGAAAACACCCCAATAAAGCCATCACTGTGGATGGAAACCATTGTTGCTAATACACGGTTAAGTGTTTAGTGAATTTAAAATGCTTAGTGTTTGATCCAGTAGATGGTTTAAGTCAGAAAGTGCATATGAGCAGGTTGCAAGTCTAGCAGGATACCCTGGTGGGAAGTGACTTTGTCTCACAACAGGAAGGTCACTGGTTTAATTCATACTGCAGCCATTGTACCTTTACTCCACTCAATGAAACAATGAGCAGGATCCATTATTAAGTATTAAAACACATGAAGCAGGAGAGGAAACCTGTTTAACTTTTATTTCATCAGGACATTCTAACTCAATTCATGCAAAAAGTCTCAGATTTACATTTTAAGACTTTTAAACAGATATTATTATTACGATATAGTGACCATACAGAACATTAAAAACAACATCTCAGTGTTTCCCACACATAGACTAATCTGTGGCGCACCGCCACAGATTAGAGACCGCCCGCCACAAATTGCGTTTCGTATTATTATATATATATTTTTTTTGTTACGCTATTTAAAACATGCATCGTCTAGTGCCGCCGCAGCGGTCAATTTGACAGCGGGGAGGGGGGTTTAAAATGTGGCGGCCCTTCGTAACTCTCACTCAAGCTACGCGTCTCTCCCACATACAGAGACCTACACACACACAGCCCCTCCCCTTCGTGCACACCGCGTGTCTCCGTCTCCATCAGCGATCATCGCTGTAAGCAGCTGTGTCTATTAATTTACCGCGGTAAAGTGGCCCGCATCTTTCAGCTCTATGAACATGCGGCCCGCATCGGGGAAAAGACGGTGCGCGTTTTGTTGAGAACTTACGGTAACAGCGGAACGTCCTTTCGGAGTCACCCATTTTTATCGAACAGAAAGCGCGCTGGGGTCAGGGAGACACGTTTTTGTGATTAAAACCTTATAGAGATGCCACCCGGCACACATAGCACCAGCCCCCTACGATTCCTCCGGCAGATTGTGAGTTCTCAGGAGGATAGCCACTCTATTGTTTACATGTATAAAGTACACAATTTGGTCCGCTAGTGCAATTTTCAAGTATTGTAACTATTTACTGGAATAAGGTGTGCGACTAATTTCACTTGACTCATGACCTTATTATTGCCCTCTGCCACTGTACCAAAGACCAGAAACTTTTACTGTAGAAATATTGAGAAATATTGAGGTAAAGTAGCCATTTTGGTCCAAAATACCTCCAAAATAGTCAAAACATGTCACTTTTGATCTACTGTAACTTTTTACTGTAAAAAGGTGTGCGACTAATTTCACTGGATTCATGACCTCAAGATTGTCCTCTACCACTGTACCAAAGACCAGACACTTTTACTGTAGAAATATTGAGAAATATTGATTTAAAGTAGCCATTTTGGTCCAAAATAGCCTAAAAATGGTCAAAACATGTCACATTTGATCTACTGTAACTTTTCACTGTAAAAAGGTGTGCAACTGATTTCACTGGATTCATGACCTCAACATTGCCTTCTACCACTGTACCAAAGACCAGACACTTTTACTGTAGAAATATTTGAGAAATATTGAGGTAAAGTAGCCATTTTGGTCCAAAATACCTCCAAAATAGTCAAAACATGTCACTTTTGATCTACTGTAACTTTTTACTGTAAAAAGGTGTGCGACTAATTTCACTGGATTCACGACCTCATGATTGCCCTCTACCACTGTACCAAAGACCAGAAACTTTTACTGTAGAAATATTGATTTAAAGCAGCCATTTTGGTCCAAAATAGCCTAAAAATTGTCAAAACATGTCACTTTTGATCTGCTGTAACTTATTACTGTAAAAAGGTGTGCGACTAATTTCACTGGATTCATGACCTCAAGATTGTCCTCTACCACTGTACCACTGTACCCCCCCCCCCCCCCCCCCCCCCCCCCCGCCGACGACCACCACACATTGCCTTCAAACCTGTGGGAAACACTGACATCTGTTTAGTTAAATTATACAATGAAATAAAAAAGGGTTTAATGTAACAGAAGAATGACTCATAATCCACTCCCTGGTCTCTGCAGCACGTAGAGGATTGGTCCTTTTCCAAAGTTCCAAAGTATTAATCGCTCTCAATTGTGTATCATTAAAATCATATCATTAAAAATTCTCATCAGGATTTAGGTAATTTCATGACAGTTTCACGCTAAAACAAATCCCTGGGAAACTTTGTTATCCAACTGTTTACATGTAAATGTGCTACAGTTGTCACAATACTGCAATTCTGGAATAAATACTCAAAACCAAATTGGATATGACGACATTTGGTTTGTACCATAAAGTCTTATACAAGGGCTTCTGATATGTTTAACATATTTAAGTACCTAGTTAATTTAAGTTTTAGAACGTCATGCTTTGACAACCCTCCTGCACCGTTGACAGTCCTGTGCTACTTTACAAAATCTATAATTTTTTATTGATAGTTGCTAAATATTCTGAAACCTTTATTCAATCAGTAATTCCATTGAGAGAAAATCTGTATTGTGAGGAAGACGTGGTCAAGAGCACCATGGAAAACAGTTAACAATTTACAATTACAGTCGATAAACTATAAAATACATTAACATTTACATCAAGATTTAATGTTTCACAAAACTGTCAAATATTTAGATTAAAGAAACATCTGGTCAATGAAACCAGTTTGTGTTTATAGAAAATAAGTTTAAAGTTTAACTAAAATGAATCTTCCGACAAAACTTTAACAATCCCCAATAACTAATCATACTTTAAAATGATTATTTCCGCCTGTAATCGTTTTCAGTCCCATGTAGTTGCTCTTCTTTGCAGCTTCTGTTTGCTCCAGGAAAACATAACCGTTTTTTACCCTCCAACATTTGCCTCGTGTCATTATCTCTGCAGAAGTTTCTGCTCCGCACTGAAGCGCTGTGTTGCTGTAGTACACTGTGGTTGTGTTTTTTTTATCCAAAACCCTTGAACGGGTCCCTGCTGTTAACAGTGTTTTGGCACCGGTTGAATCTGTTCACAACATTGTTAATTGTAAAAAGAAAGAAGGCTGTTTCAGTGGTAACACTGTTGTTGCAATGTTCCAAATGCTAAAGCTTGTGCACCATATTAGCAGTTATGAGTCAATAAGACAAAGCTAATATGCATGTTGTGTTGTTGTTTGAAAGCCAAGATCTTGGTCCTTTCCACATGTCTCTTTTGGCCGCAGAGCAGCAGAAGCATGAGGGGAATGTGTAGGTGGCTAGATCAGCCGATGAAGTGTAAATACCACTCAATCTGTTCTCATTAGAGGAGTAAAAACGTACGAATCACTTCGCCTCCATTAAAAATGCCCCAGGGCCTTGGTGGATTGTCCTTGTGTGTATTTGCATGTGCATAAGTCTGCGTGAGACAGAAAGAGGGGGTGACAGGATGATGTTTTGGCATTTGTGCCTGTGGATGGGATCTGAAATGCCACCACCATCATTGCTGCTTAATTCCCAGATACACACGGTTAATCTGAACAGACAATCCATTCCGACAGCCACTGTTATGATTCAGATCAACTCACAGTGAAGTGCTGCTGTGCTGAGTGAGAGAGGATGTCATTGTATTTTGGTTTGTGATTAGGTGTCTATGGATGTATGACCAAGATATCACACATCCGCTGCACATTCCCCTATGATAATGTGGATTGATTATGGATATGATAATGAGAGGCCGGCGCGGCGTCGCGACCTTCACAAGGTC